TTGGATCATTTCAGGCCTGGAACTGCCAATCTTTACTGAACAAAATCTACGAGTTGTTAACTTGAAAACTACCGGCACATATCATCACAAGGTGGAACAGAGCAGTTTGAATTTTGAAGGTGAAGACAGACTGATGAAAAAGGGATTACTCAAACATGTGAATGAAACAAAACACAACTCCAGGCACGTTTTTACTTATTTATTTCCAACCTGCACATTCAGTTCAGAACATAACAATACAAATGCAGATACAACTATGCAGGTTTGAAAAGGAGATGGATGAAGCGAAACGTTTACATTTTCAGTCCCCTCCCACATCTAACAGAAAAACACTTTAACTAGTTTATTATACATGACAAGACAAGACAAAATGGACATTCACACGCTCGTCCGCACACTGGCCCATCACTCTCTGACCCTCTGACCCTAAATGTGTAGATACAGAATTGAATTATGGGATGCAGCAGTCTGTGGTGGAACTGTGATAAGCAGAACACACACAACATTTCACAACGTAATTTTTATTAAGTAGAAAAAGACCAAATTTATGAACACTTAAAAAGACACGATCGAGACACAATGATTCAAAAAAGTGTAAAACGTTTCGATTCCTGAAATTCAGAGGAAGATCGAGGAAACAGGCTGATTCTCAAATTCCAGGAGTCTGGTCCCATTAACTGTGCGTTTGAGTCTGGTCCGTTCCCATTAACTGTGAGTTTGAGTCTGGTCCGTTCCCATTAACTGTGAGTTTGAGTCTGGTCCATTCTCATTAACTGTGCGTTTGAGTCTGGTCCGTTCACATTAACTGTGAGTTTGAGTCTGGTCGTTCCCATTAACTGTGAGTTTGAGTCTGGTCCGTTCCATTAACTGTGAGTTTGAGTTTGAGTCTGGTCGGTCGTTCCCATTAACTGTGCGTTTGAGTCTGGTCCGTTCCCATTAACTGTGAGTTTGAGTCTGGTCCGTTCCCATTTGGTCTGTTCCCATTAACTGTGCGTTTGAGTCTGGTCCGTTCCCATTAACTGTGAGTTTGAGTCTGGTCGTCGTCCATTAACTGTGAGTTTGAGTCTGGTCCGTTCCCATTAACTGTGAGTTTGAGTCTGGTCCGTTCACATTAACTGTGAGTTTGAGTCTGGTCCATTCCCATTAACTGTGAGTTTGAGTCTGGTCCGTTCCCATTAACTGTGCGTTTGAGTCTGGTCCGTTCCCATTAACTGTGCGTTTGAGTCTGGTCCGTTCCCATTAACTGTGAGTTTGAGTCTGGTCGTTGAACTGTGTGTTTGAGTCTGGTCCGTTCACATTAACTGTGTGTTTGAGTCTGGTCCGTTCCCATTAACTGCGAGTTTGAGTCTGGTCCGTTCACATTAACTGTGAGTTTGAGTCTGGTCCGTTCCCATTAACTGTGCATTTGAGTCTGGTCCGTTCACATTAACTGTGTGTTTGAGTCTGGTCCATTCCCATGAACTGTGAATTTGAGTCTGGTCCGTTCACATTAACTGTGAGTTTGAGTCTGGTCCCATTAACTGTGAGTTTGAGTCTGGTCCGTTCCATTAACTGTGAGTTTGAGTCTGGTCCGTTCCCATTAACTGTGCGTTTGAGTCTGGTCCGTTTCCATTAACACTGCGTTTGAGTCTGGTCCATTCCCATTAACTGCGTTTGAGTCTGGTCCGTTCCCATTAACTGTGAGTTTGAGTCTGGTCCGTTCCCATGAACTGTGAGTTTGAGTCTGGTCCGTTCCCATTAACTGTGAGTTTGAGTCTGGTCCGTTCCCATTAACTGTGAGTTTGAGTCTGGTCCGTTCCCATTAACTGTGCGTTTGAGTCTGGTCCGTTCCCATTAACTGTGAGTTTGAGTCTGGTCCGTTCCCATTTGGTCTGTTCCCATTAACCGGGCGTTTGAGTCTGGTCCGTTCCCATTAACTGTGAGTTTGAGTCTGGTCCGTTCCCATTAACTGTGAGTTTGAGTCTGGTCCGTTCCCATTAACTGTGAGTTTGAGTCTGGTCCGTTCCCATTAACTGTGAGTTTTGAGTCTGGTCCGTTCCCATTAACTGTGTGTTTGAGTCTGGTCCGTTCCCATTAACTGTGAGTTTGAGTCTGGTCCGTTCCCATTAACTGTGAGTTTGAGTCTGGTCCGTTCCCATTAACTGTGAGTTTGAGTCTGGTCCGTTCACATTAACTGTGAGTTTGAGTCTGGTCCGTTCCCATTAACTGTGAGTTTGAGTCTGGTCCGTTCCCATTAACTGTGAGTTTGAGTCTGGTCCGTTCCCATTAACTGTGCGTTTGAGTCTGGTCCGTTTCCATTAACTGTGAGTTTGAGTCTGGTCCGTTCCATTAACTGTGAGTTTGAGTCTGGTCCGTTCACATTAACTGTGAGTTTGAGTCTGGTCCGTTCCCATTAACTGTGAGTTTGAGTCTGGTCCGTTCACATTAACTGTGAGTTTGAGTCTGGTCCGTTCACATTAACTGTGAGTTTGAGTCTGGTCCGTTCACATTAACTGTGAGTTTGAGTCTGGTCCGTTCCCATTAACTGTGAGTTTGAGTCTGGTCCGTTCCCATTAACTGTGCGTTTGAGTCTGGTCCGTTTCCATTAACACTGCGTTTGAGTCTGGTCCATTCCCATTAACTGTGCGTTTGAGTCTGGTCCGTTCCCATTAACTGTGAGTTTGAGTCTGGTCCGTTCCCATTAACTGTGAGTTTGAGTCTGGTCCGTTCCCATTAACTGTGAGTTTGAGTCTGGTCCGTTCCCATTAACTGTGCGTTTGAGTCTGGTCCGTTCCCATTAACTGTGAGTTTGAGTCTGGTCCGTTCCCATTTGGTCTGTTCCCATTAACCGGGCGTTTGAGTCTGGTCCGTTCCCATTAACTGTGAGTTTGAGTCTGGTCCGTTCCCATTAACTGTGAGTTTGAGTCTGGTCCGTTCCCATTAACTGTGAGTTTGAGTCTGGTCCGTTCCCATTAACTGTGAGTTTGAGTCTGGTCCCATTAACTGTGAGTTTGAGTCTGGTCCGTTCACATTAACTGTGAGTTTGAGTCTGGTCCGTTCCCATTAACTGTGAGTTTGAGTCTGGTCCGTTCCCATTAACTGTGAGTTTGAGTCTGGTCCGTTCCCATTAACTGTGCGTTTGAGTCTGGTCCGTTCCATTAACTGTGAGTTTGAGTCTGGTCCGTTCCCATTAACTGTGAGTTTGAGTCTGGTCCGTTCACATTAACTGTGAGTTTGAGTCTGGTCCGTTCCCATTAACTGTGAGTTTTGAGTCTGGTCCGTTCACATTAACTGTGAGTTGGTCCGTGAGTCTGGTCCGTTCCATTAACTGTGAGTTTGAGTCTGGTCCGTTCACATTAACTGTGAGTTTGAGTCTGGTCCGTTCCCATTAACTGTGAGTTTGAGTCTGGTCCGTTCCATTAACTGTGCGTTTGAGTCTGGTCCCGTTCCCATTATTCTGTGATCTGTTAACTGTGGTTTGAGTCTGGTCCGTTCCCATTAACTGTGAGTTTGAGTCTGGTCCGTTCCCATTAACTGTGAGTTTGAGTCTGGTCGTTCCATTAACTGTGAGTTTGAGTCTGGTCCGTTCCCATTAACTGTGAGTTTGAGTCTGGTTTGTCCATTAACCGTTTGAGTCTGGTCCGTTCCCATTAACTGTGAGTTGAGTCTGGTC